GCCTGCCCCTCCTGCTTCCCCCATTCTCCCCAGCCCGGCCCCCATTGCCGACCGAAGCAGGGCTGGTGACCGCTGGAGCGCAGAAGGCACGCAAGAACGGCAAGGGAATGCCTGCGTGCTGTCTGGTAAGGGAATGCCCGTGTGCTGACTGGAAAGGTAATGCCTGTGGGCTGCCTGGTAAGGGAATGCCTGCGTGCTGTCTGATCAGGGAATGTCCGTGTGCTGTCTGGTAAGGGAATGCCTGTTAGCTGTCTGGCTGGGTGATGCCTGTTGGCTGCCTGGTAAGGGAATGCCTGCGTGCTGACTGGTCAGGGAATACATGTTGGCTTTCTGGTTGGGTGCTGCCTGTTAGCTGCCTGGTTAGATAAGACGGCGATGACATTTCACACGGCGGAGTGGGAAGCGCGATCATACCCTGAACTGAAGAATGCGTCGTTGGCAACCAGCAAAACACATAACGGAAGACGGAGTTCCGTCGCCCCCTCTCCCCTCCAAAATTGACACCGAGAGCGCTATCGCCTGCGACCTGGGCGAGTGTTCCAACTGCCTCCCAACGTTGACGGGGGGGGAGGGGGCGCGAACTGCGTTGCTCAACTTTGAAGGGGGGGCGTCAGATGCGCCTCTCAACTTTGGAAAGGCTGCCGCCGCGTCAATTTAATCCCACCAGCCCTTTGGGCGTGAGTGGTTATGGAGCTCTCTCTGTCCTCAACCCCCCTTCTTCCCCTTCGGGGAGGGGTTTACCCCTCCCCCTACCCCCTCCCCCTGGACCTGGAGAGGGAGTTCCGCGGGTCGTCAGGGGGGTCTTTTTCGACGTCTGGGAGGGCCAAAAAACGACGACCCTCACGAGGATTCTGGCCCCGAGGGGGGGGGGAGTTTGGTGCCTCAGCTCGTCTTTGAAGTAAAAATCATTGATTTTACTACGGTTTTCGCCCCACTTTGGCCTTCTGAGGGGGCCGCGTTCCCCTTCCTTCATAGCAAAATCATTGATTTTACTAAGGTTTTGGCCTCATTTTGGTCAAATCAAGGGGAAGCGCTCATTTGCGCTTCTGAGGAGGTCGCAAGAGGCTCCAAGATGGACCCAAGAGGCCCCCAGGAGGCCCCCAAGAGGCCTCCAGGAGGCCCCCAAGAGGCCCCCAAGAGGCCCCAAGAGGTCCCCAAGAGGCTCCCAAGAGGCCCCCCAGAGGCCCCAAGAGGCTCCAAGAGGCCCCCAAGACGCCCCCAAGAGGCCCCCAAGAGGCCCCCAAGACGCCCCAAGAGGCTCCAAGAGGCCCCCAAGAGGCCCCACGAGGAGCCCGAACGACTCACACCAGGACGAGAGACCCCAACGACTCACACCACGAAGAGCCCGAACGACTCACACCACAAGGAGGGGCCCGAACGACTCACACCAGGACGAGGCGCCCGAACGACTCACACCACGAGGAGCCCGAACGACTCACACCACGACGCGGGCCCCGAACGACTCACACCACGAGGAGCCCGAACGAGTCACACCAGGAGGAGGGGCCCGAACGACTCACACCAGGATGAGGGGCCCGAACAACTCACACCACGAGAAGCCCGAACGACTCACACCAGGACGAAGAGCCCGAACGACTCACACCACGAAGAGCCCGAACGACTCACACCAGGAAGAAGGGCCCGAACGACTCACACCAGGACGAGAAACCCCAAACGACTCAAATCACGAGGAGCGCTTTCTCTCCCTCCTCCTCCGCCTCGTCCTTCTCCCGCTCCCCTCACAAGGAGGATGTACAAGGAGGCGGGAGGAAGGAGGAACAGGGGAGATATGCGGGGCCAAGCGGACACACGCCTGAAAAACACGACTGTCGGCATGCTTCGCGAGAGTTGCTGCTGTGAGATGGGCTGGTGGGGATACGCGAAGCGTAAAGAATTGTGACGCGGCTTGTAGGTTGTAGAATCGATGTAGTGCAATATATGTTGTGCAATGTATGTGGTGCACCCTCTGTTGTGCACACTCTACGCGGCGACGAGGCGGCGACGGGCCGGCGACGGCGGCAACACATAGCCGCCAGACCGGTGGTCAGGTCCAAAGGACGGGCGGCGACGGGGCGGCGGCGGCGGCAACGTAGCCGCAGGACCGGCACGCAGTCCCGGAAGGCGGGCGGCGACGAGGCGGCACGGCGGCCACGCAGCCGCCAGACCAACACGCCGGCCCACTCTCGAGAACAGGAGCACGAGGCCCCAACTCGCCATCGCTCGGACGTCCATTCCCTGTTTTTTCGTCGGTTTCGTGCGTGGTTTTTTCGCCAAAGGATCAAGGATGCTCCTCGATTGTCCTCGCCGAAGGAAAAATGCACACGTCCGAGCGATGCCAAGCCAAGTGCAGAAACGCTGGTTGGCGAAAACGTGCGGCGGGTCTGGCATCGGGGGCGGGCGGGTGTACTGCAACATGGTTGGCACATCCTTGGGCTTCAGCATGAGTCCTGCTGCCCACCTGGCTGGTGCCGTGAGACGTCCCCCTCGTCTTCCTGGGCTCCCCGCGCCCACCCTCGTGCGCGCACAGAGGGGAGAGGGAAACGAAGGGACGAGGAGGAGAGGGAGATGGGGAAAGGGAAGGAGAAGGAGAAGGGGGAGGAGAAGAGGCAGAAAGGAGGAGGAGGAGGAGGAGGAGGAGAGGGATGAGAAGGGAGGAGAAGGAAAGGGGAAAGCCAGGAGAGGGAGAAGAAGGGAGGGGAGGGAGGAGAAGGGGAGGGGAGGCAGCAGGAGAAGGAGAAGGAGAGGGAGAAGAGGGAGGAGCAGGGAAAGGGGAACCGCAGGGAAGAAGAGCGGGAGTAACATGGGAACACATAACAGCAAAGACGAGATAAAGAAACCCTGCGTGCTAACGGACAGTACGCGGGAGCAGGCTGGTGCAAGGTTGGGGGAGCGATGAGAACAGTACTCCTCATGATGGAGTGGGGGAGAAAGGGGTGGAGTGGAAGGAGGGGGGATAAGTAGAAAGCGGCAATGTGGAGGATGAGGAGCAGCAGGGGTAGACGAACGAGCTCTTCGAGATGCACTCTCCTCCTCCCTCCACGGTCCGAGCACCAGAAGGAGGAGGAAGGGGACGAGAAGGAGGAGGAGGGGGTTGAGATGCCTACTCCGCCCGTCGCTTCTCCCCCTGGTCGTCTCTGCCTTTGCCCTCTAGCTGCCTTGGTATTGTGGTGCCACCTGACTGCGCGTGACCCATTGGCCTATCGTGTCGCAGTGACTCCGGGATGGGGAGACGAGGTCGGGGGAGGGGGCGTAGGAGGGGAGGGGGCGAGGAGGGTGCTGGCGGATTACGCAGCAGGAAAGGTGGCTGATCCCTGCAATCAGGACAGGCGCAGTGGTCGGACGTCCTGAAGCGGTGCCTGGGGGGGCATGTCTTAAGGGCGAAGCCTTACTAGCGGTCACCACTTGGCCAATGTGTTTGATGAGTCTTTCCAGGTAACTGGCTAGCGGTCTGATAAGCAATGAAGTGAAAGGGTCCGTGTCTGTTGAGATGCAGGATTGAATGAAGGTGCCCTAGGGGACGGGATTTGACCCCCCCAAAGGAGGTTGCACCGCAGTAGAAGCTGAGCTCGCGTGCGTTTCTGACACGCAAGTGAAGTTACGGATGCCGCTATGATGAGCAAGTGGAGTGAGGGCAGCCCACATGTGGACGAGGAAGGGGAGGAGGAGGAGGAGGAGGACGAGGAGGAGGAGTAGGAGGAGGAGAAGGAGCAAGAGGAGAAAGATGAGGAGGAGGAGGAGGAGATGCCGGAAGAGGAGAAAGACGAGCAGGAGCAGGAGGAGGAGGGCGGGGAAGACGGCCACCCAGATGACCAGAGGTCAGCTTCAAACGTTGGATGCCGGCGACTTCTTACAGCCGAAAGCCCGGTAAGTTGGGTCAGGCCTGTCCCCGCTTGAACTCGTCCAGAAACCTCTTGCCCGAGGAGGTGCAGGTTGGTGGGCAGGACGGGGAGGAGGAGGGACGAGGAGGAGGGAGCGAGGGGGAGCGAGGAGGAGGAGGGACGAGGAGGAGGGAGCGAGGAGGAGGGACGAGGAGGAGGGAGCGAGGGGGGACGAGGAGGAGGAGGAGGGAGCGAGGAGGGACGAGGAGGAGGAGGGACGAGGAGGAGGGACGAGGAGGAGGGACGAGGAGGAGGGGGCGAGGGGGGAGGGGAGAGGGCGGGGGGCGAGGACGGCGACGAGGAGCAGGGGCAGTCCGGCGAGCGAGCTCGATGCGATGCAGCACTCTTTGCCTTCATCCGCTGGCCCCAAGCCTCTGATGCCTTGATTTGTTCAACACTCGGGGATGGACAGACCTCCCTTTAGCAAAACGTGGTTTAGTGAAATGGACCTCGGGCCCAAACCTGGCGGGCGCAAGCCTGGAAAACAACGGCCACGGCGCCCTCTCGAAAACCGAAAACGGACAATTCACTAATCGACGTGTCACTGTTGGGGGTTCTGTCCACCCCCGAAACACCCGCCCCACCGTAGAGCTCTGGACCTCTTCCTGGGGACCGGTTCCTCGACCAGGATCGTTTTTAGAAGGTCCCGAGGCCCTGGGAGGGCCCCCAGACGCCGAAAACCGATTACGAGAAGCCGCCAGCTTGAGTTTGTCCACGCGTTGAGGTCTGGGAAGCGTTCTGTGGCAATCACGGGGGGTCTCCCATGTCGTTTTGCTGACCCTTGCGAATCGACGACGAATCGACGCCACATGGGCGCGAAACTGGCGCTGACCAGGGCTCAATCGGCGCTAGATCATCCCGAATCATCCCTTGCCAGGCGCGAGCGCACGCCAGTGCACTCCAGGGACGGAACTGCGAGGACATGCGAGGCTCCCGTGAAGCACCACCGATGGCCAGCTCGATGCGATGCCGCCTTTTGGCCTCATCGGCCGGCGGAGCCGCGCCGCGGTTTTTGCTCTGACGGGGTGGGCCCTCGGGCGGCGCGGCCGCGTCGCCGCGGGGGCAGCTGCTGGGCGCCGGCCCGGCGACCGGCGCCGACGGGACGCCGCCGCCGCGGCGCCCTCAGACGAAGTGGGCCTTCCCAGGCAACGCCAAGCCCAGATCTCCGACGATGGGACGTTCTCAACCCGCGGCTGTGCTCCCTGATTTCGGCCCTCGCCTGACTCTGGATCCGCCGTGCTCTGTGGGCGATTCTGCGAGCAGGGCGGAGACTTCCGCCGTACTTTTCGAGCTCCTTGAGATTCCGCCCGACTTTCCGCCGCTGCTTCCGCCCTACATTTGTGCTGCTTCGTGGACGATGTTGTGGATATTGTCCAAAATTGTGGAACTTTACGCAACGTCCGCCCTATTTTTCTGAGGGCGGAGATGTCCGCCCTACTTTGTTTCTATCCTACGGCATGCTGCATGTGCGACACATTGCCAAACCCGAAAATCCACCTAGGTACGGCGGGTCCAGAGTCAGGGGGGGCGCACATCTAACCCCCCCCCCGGGGAAACGATCGGAGTACCTCTGCAGGTCGCGAAATGAACAACGCACTTCGGCCGACGGATGTGAAGGAGGCGGGGGTCGGGGGTCACCCCTGTTAGGAAACACCTCCTGGGAAGTCCTCGAAAAAACGACCAAGGTGTGAGGGGTGTTCCGAGATGGGTGGCGCGGACGCATGTGGACACCGCCGATGGTGCGGAGCTGCTCATGGCGCCACGAAGCTTGTGAGAGGTGTGCCGACATGGGTGGCGCGGATGCATGTGGACACCACCAGTGGGGCCTTCGGCGGAGCTCCCTATGGGCCACGAAGCGTGTGAGGGGTGTGCTGGCATGGGTGGCGTGGACGCATGTCGACACCGCCACTGGGGCCTTCGGTGGACGCGTGGCTGGATTCGGGGAGGTCTGGCGGAGAGGGACGATCGAATCACCCGGTCCCGCATTGGAGGACGCCATCTCCGATCACAGCCAGAGTCGCGCGGCGGACTCCCAACGATGACAATGATGACCTGCAGAGTTCGTTTTTTCAGGTGTGGCCTCAGAGTGCACTGAGGCGCGTCTTGAGCCAAAACGGGTACGGACCCTCATCCGTCCCGCCGCTCGCGCAAGGTATCGTGACAATCTCGTGCCCGAATAAGCGTCCTAAATTCTGCCCCTGGTGATTTGTCACCAGGAACGAGAAGTCAGAATTCCGGGCGTGCCGGCCCATCCGCTTTCGAACGGGTGTTCCTTCAACCAGAACATCCGCACTGATTCTGACACGAGCGTCGTCGACTATCGAGCGGATTCCCCGCCCGACCACCGACTTTGAGCGAAATGCACTATTGAGCATCGGCTGTAAATACAATAAACTAAAGTTATGGGGCCGGCCCCCAGAGGCTGGCCGAAAATACAATACAATTCATAATACACATGCACATGTCAATGGCAGTGAGATTGCCCCTGCGCTCTGGCAAGGATTGAACGACTGGCGCACCGGCAGCTCTCTTGTCGCAGCGGCGGGTGAAGACGGCTGGCGCACCGGCAGGACTCTTCTCGCAGCGGCGGGCATTCTGGCCTCCTCTCGTGGCCAGAAACAACACTCGGAATCAGAGGGCCGGCGGGTCCTGCGCTCTGGACGTTCATGCATGACATGACTATTGTACTAATTCATAAAAGTATATAGTATACGGAAGCCCTTGCTCCCGCGCGTCTCCTCGGCTGTCGAACGGTTGCCCGCCCGACAGTCAAGAGCAGCAGGATGGATGCCGACAACGAGGTCACCTGTGACGTGTGCACTATTGCTCGAGATTCTGATCAATGCGTGCCACCGTCTTTGACTCCAGTCAGGTTCTCAAGGCAAAATATGCATACACAGCTATGACTCCAATGACCTGTCAACACAATGAGCGATACGTGCCTGATGGACTTACAAGCTCCCCCCATCCGCAGTACACGACAAATGAAGCTGTGGATGCCCACGTCAGTCCGTGGCCTTTTCAAGTGCCGCCCATCTCCGCTCAGAAGCTCCAGGTCTGTTTCGCGGTGCTCCTCTGCGGCGTTTCTTTCTAGGGCCGGCCTCTTCTCCAGCTTCAGCGTCTGGGCGTTGATTCGCACGATCGGCCCCTGCGTCTCCTGATACGCCAACGGCAGATGAGGTGGCTCCACGGCCTCCTCCAGTCAGCTGCGCCGTTGCCTCGATCACGGCGCGCAGCTGCTCGTTGGTAATGCCGTGGTTCCTGACGAAGGCGGCGTAGGGCACGCGCATGTCGTCGGCGTAGTTCGCGCACACCTCTGGCAACGAGGTGAGATCAGAATCTGGAAGCCACCTCTCGCACATGGCCCTCAGGAGCTCCCCCCACATTGGGTGGTCTCGCGGGACGTCCGGGTGGACGATGCCCTCAATCATCAGCGTGCTCCCCCCTCCTCCCCCATGCGTTGCTGCAGCACCAAGTCGTGGAGGCTGCACAGGATGGGGCGTGGAGGAGCCGTCGCCTGCCATGTCGCTCCTGTTGGCCCGTCCTGGTGTCACAGAAGTCGCGTGCGCAGCCACCGTGCCAGGGAGCTGGCCCTCCATGGCGTCAATGAGGACCTTGATCACCTCAGGCGTGGCCAGCTTGGTCAGCGCGTCGGCGACCATCTCCTTCGTGGGGCAATGGCTAAGCTTCACTCGGCCCTGCTTCCCCTCCTCCAGCAGACGCTTGGCGCGCGCGGCATAGTAGCGAGTGCGCCAGGTCGCACCCAAGCTTGCAGCAGTAAGAGCAGCTTGGTTGTCGATCATGACCTCGACGCACTTGGGGTACAGGTGCAGCGTGGAGAGGAGGTAGCGTATCCCCTCGGTCACCTGCCAGCACAGCGCGGCGGCACAGAGCTCGGCCTCGGCCGTGGACAGCGCCGACAAGGCTGCCCGGCTGGAGCGCCACGTGATCACCGAGCCGCCCCAGCAGATGATCAGACCATTCTGCGACTGGGTGGCTGCCCCGGCAAACCCCGCATCTGAGTAGACGCGGAGGTCGTTCTCGTCGCCCTGGGCGGTAAGAAGAAGACCTTGGTCAGCTGTCCCTGCCAGATACCGGAGCACCTTGTGGGCGAGGTCGCGGCTCCATGCCCCGTACTTGGTGGTACTTGAAGCCAAGAGGGAAGTCCAGTAAGACACATCTGGCCTGGTGCGCGTGGCAAGCCAATTGAAGGCCCCAGCGTGGGCCTGCAGTTCCTTGAGCTGCTCTCGCTGCGGCGGGTCCTCCTGCTCAGGGAGCTTGTCCATGGAGACGCTCTTGATGGATTTGCAGCGGTCCATTCCGTGCTTCGCCAAGAGCTCCTTGGTGAAACGTTCCCGGGTGAGATAGATATCTCCGTTCGAGCGCCTGTACCAGTCCAATCCCAAAAATGTCAAGGACACCTCTGGCGTGAGGACTCTCTCGGGCCCAAACTCCCACAGACCGGTGAGCGCCTTGACGAATGTCTCCCTGCTCGGCCCCTTCTCGGTGAGGAGGAGCATGTCGTCCACGTAAACACACAGAAGCCCATGTAGTTCACGTGGGTGTCCCTTCCGTCTGAGGCTCCACACCTGGGTGTCGGCCTCGTTCTGCTCCAGGTAGAACTCGTCGCCGTCGTGGGTCCACCTGAGCTGCTTCAGCTTGCGGTCCCTTTCGTCTGACCACCACTTCGGGCTCTGGCGGAGACCGTACACCGCTCTGTTCAGCTTCCACACCACGCCCTGCTCAACGATGCCCCAGGCGACCCACTGCGCAGGAGGCTGGACCAGGATGAGCTCGTCAGGCGGCAGCGGTGCATTCAGGAACGCCCCCTTCACGTCGAGTTTGCTCACAACCCAGTTCCGCATGGCAGCGAGCTTGGCAGCCATAAATATGCTGGATGGTTCGGCTTGGGCCGTCCAGCGCTGCGCGGCGGGGTCGAACTGCTGGAGGTTCCCGGCTATGCAGGTTCGGCATTTGCGGAAATCTTGGTCTGCGCGGGACCACACGTTCAGCATGGGCAGCGGCCTCTTGCCATATCTCTTGATATCGTCAGCTGTCGCCACCTGAATCGCGTCCCGCGTCAGGAACGAGTCGTGCTCCGCCTGGGCGGCGAGGATCCACGAGTCGAGGTCGGGGCCGACTGCTCGGCGAATCTCTTCTGGAGGCACAACTGTCTTGCCTGGCTCCGGGCCGGCGACCTGCTGCACGGCCTCAAGAACATCGCCTTCTACATGGTCGACTGGCCCTGGGTACGCCACTGCCGCGCACCACGCCGGGAGCAAATGGCAGACGAAGCGGGCCGCGAGAGACGGCTCTCGGCATCGTCTCCGCCGTCGGCGCGAAGTTCTCGAAATGCGCGGTGCCTCGCAGTCCTTCTCGTCGTCCTCTGCCATCTCGGGTTCCGAGTGCTTGCTGTCTTCGGTCTCCTGCTGCGCGTCCAGCTCGCCCGTCGCGGCCTCGGCGCCCCCCTCCACTGCGGGCAGAACGGGGCCCACGGCCAGCTCGTCGTCGGCGGAGAACGAGGACTCGAGATCTTCCCAGTCGTAGAACTCGGCCTCCCCGGGGCCCGTGGTGGAGTCGTCGACGGTCGACGGCGCTGAACCCCACGTCGCGGACGTAGATGTGGCCATGGCGAAGGCCAGCGTAGCGTGCGGGAAGCACTCTAAAGGGCTTGGGCAAGCTCGGGACAACTGAAAAAACGAACTCTGCTGGTCATCGTTGTCGTCGTTGGGAGTCCGCTGCACTTCATCTCCTGGGTCGGGGGCCCTGCTCTCGGGGCCTATGCTCTCGAAGGCTGGCTCGTGGAGAAAATCTTCCTCAGGACTCTGCGATGTTTCGACCTCCTCCTGAACGCTCAGTAACGGACGTGGCGCCCGCAAGCACTCCCCCCAGACCAAGGCGTGCGGTCTGGTTTGCCTCCGGCCTTTGCGCGTCTGGAGACATGCCTCGCAGGTGGCCGTCTCGCGCGTGGCAGCCAAGAGGTCCTGGGGGCGCGGCCTGGGCACAGCAGCGGCGTCGAAATCAGCCGCGTCAGGGAGGTCGAGAGGGCGGTCGGGAGGATCCCAACTGCTCACGTTGAGCTTCACCCACGCGAGGTCGCCCTGTGAAAGTCCCTGAGGTTGGACGTCGGCCCGTGG